TCAATGATGCTACTAGCGATGGCGGCACCTAGAAAGCATCATAGACTGAGTGATAAAGTGGTGAGGTTTCCTCAGATTTTGGAGTGCGATAATATCGGAGATACTATGGAAGTGGATTCCTTAGACGGTTGTAATGAAGTAAGTATCACATTCATTATCAAACATAAGCATATATGAATCTTTAGGGTTTCACGAGACTCTCGAAATTCGAGATTTCTCGTCTCGTCTCGTCTCGATTTCGAAAATAACAAAGATAACAAAGTCAATAAAAAGGACAAAGGTATAAATAAATATCTTTATATTCTTAAAGAACTTTAACGTCTTGAACTATTGAAAACTATCAAATACGAAAATCAAATTTGAACACTCAAAAATTAACAAAACATTAGAAAATAAATGAACAATAAACAAAGTTCTTCAACAGAGAACAAAATTGTTGTTTACACACTTGTAAATATATCTCTGGTACATAGCCAAGAATTCAAACATAGTAAAGCCGTTGAGCCGATCGTTCTTTCCTGATGGTAAGTGTTGCTCTTGAAAACAGTCTTTCTGCCGGAACTGAAGTAGCTTGAATACTCAAGAAATCACGAGCCATCTTTGATAAATTCGAATCTTCAGCTAGGTAGGTTCCTACTCATTGATATTTCAACGCAACAAACTGTACGAGCATTCTAGTTATTGAAGAAGCTATACTGTTAGCGAAGTATGTCAAATTTTTTGTAAATCTTATCGTTTGTGAAGTTTTCTACATTTACTATGGATTTACATCAAGTAACGCGGAGTCAATTCAATATTTTTGTTTCTCTATATTTCGAAGCTTTTCTGAATAATAGTTATTTGTTTTACTATAGGCAGTAAAGTAGTAGATTGACTGCGGCTGTGTCCTAACTTGCTCCGTTTTTGAGATACAGAATGTTGAAGTTGGAGGTATTAATTGTTTTTATTTATAACCCCCTGTATCAGCTTTCATGGAGCCAAAAATCAGTATGGATGGAGGCTGAGAAAGCCCCAAAATTTCAAAATGATTCTAATTGGGGTTATTGAGTAATCTCAATGGAAGTCTTGAAAACACCTATACAATAAAATTTGAAGTCAAATCTAATTTTTATTGTTTCCTCAAAAACAAAGCAAGATGCAAAAATCACACAGAGGATAAAAAAAGTTGTTTTTTTCAATAGTTCAATCTAATAAAAATATGAAACATTCTTCATGGTGAATATCGATAAATTCACCCTCTGGACATATTATTTCGAATCTATAATTGCACTAGGAGAAGCTCCATATCACTATTAACAAAACCACAACGTTTTATCAAAATTGATCAGAAGACAATTGAGAAATGAATAGAAATAAGATTTTTCATGGAGATATTAATACCCTGTATCTCGAAAACGAAGCAAGTTAGGACACATATCGTGGGTCATCTCACGTAATGACGTATCTCATAGAAATCGGAATCTGAGATACTTCGTCAAGTGATTTATATTCTTGTACTTCATGATTTCACAAAGTGGCGTAACTCAATATTCAATGGTTTTCGTGCAATTGGAAATCTAATACCCAGAGCCTATCTCAAATTATTGGACTACCGAATCTCACGAAGTGACCTAACTATAGGAGTAACGTCAGTACGTACGAGATATATTTTCATTATGTGTTGGGTTTGTCGCGGAAATCAAAATATCTTGGGTGACGTATATCAAGGTACTGAAAGGAGGATTGTACAAGTGGAATGAATTTCTGTGTTTTTATGAATAAAAATGAATATTCAGATCTGTTATTCATTTGAATTCACTCGATATCCATGGGTGTATCTGAGGCTCCATTAACAAACATGATCTCACGTAGTGACGTATCTAATAACTTTTTTTTTTTTTCGTTTTTGGGGATGCTTTTTCGAAATCTCACCATATCATGACAACTAGTTCCGTTCATCCACTGATAAATGAAAAAATAATGATCTTTCATGAACAACCCTCTGAAATATGAGCTAATTAAGATGTTGAAAATCTTTGAACTGCTCTCTGCTGTGAAATTAGGAAAACTAAGATACGTCACTACGTGAGATGACCGTCGATATGTTTATAATATGAACTTTATTTCCTAAAAGATCACAAGGTATCACCCCTAATTGTTTCGGTGTTATTTAGGTACACCCTGTATAGTTCATATAGTTCATATGGTAACATGTCATTTGATCCATGGCCATTATATCCGCGACATTATATCCGCGCGACAATATATCCGTGGCTTTATATCCGCGTTATTTTATGCGCATATGTCAATAACTATTCATCATTTTGTTTTCGATCCATTCTTCTCACCTATTTGTAGACATTGCAGTGATCACTATTATCTTATAGGAGTGACTGAATTCCGCCCTTACATATTGTCTGATAAATTTTGTGTACCATCGAGGTTTTGATTATTTTGTAATTCGGGCAATATGAATAAAGACATATTATTATTATTATTATCAGGAACAAGAATACCCGAAAAAAAAACAGCACCCGAAACAAGCGTCTAGCTGCACCATTTCCATCAGTGACTCTCTGAATTCTCTCGAGTACGCCACTGTGATATCTGCGGGAGGAAATTATTTGTTCATAAAAATAATTTTTTAAATAGAAGAATGGTACAGCGACCTGTGAATCCGATTGCCACTTCGCGGCTCGTGTTCATTCTATGCAAAGGTCGACTGTTTTTCTGTTTGCAGGTAATTTTTTTCCGGTAAATATACTTTTTAGGATGAAGGTTTATTTAGGCCTAGTGAGGTTGAATTATTTACAAAAAGTTGTCTTCCTTTTGTTCTCACGAGTAATTTTCCGAAAAATATACTTTCTCAAGATTCATTTATGGACCGAATTATGTTAAATTGTCCAAAAAAAGCAGTCTCTTCTGTTCGCTCAAGTGAATTTCACAATCGTATATTCACTAGGAAGAAAGTTCATGTATATATAGGCCGAGTAAGGTTAGATTGTTTCAAAAAAGTAGTTTTTTCTGTTCGCTCAATTGATTTTCTAAATAATAAACTTCCTAGGAAGAAATTTCATCGAGGCCGAGCTAGGTTAGATTGTTTAGAAGGCTATGGATCGTCAAAAATCAAGTAGTCATTCTGAGAGAATATAATGCCGACTTGATTTCTTTTTGCTACGCTTAGTCGGCGGTCTTAGGACAGCTGGCTGGAGACTGCCCAGCACTGATGAGTGTCAAAGAGCTCGAAACCGGTATTAAGGTGTCTAGCGTGGCCTGGCTAAATCGAAACCAATTGGCATTCAGGATAGAATCACTTGTATCAGTGTTCGTTGTTTTTTTACCGAAATCTACCATTGTTGTTCATTTTATGAACATTGTGTGGAAATGATTTTGAGCTTTTCGTATTCATTATTTTATTGGGTCTGAAAACCAACAAAGCTTATGGCTCCGACGGAATCCCACCGATTGTTCTCAAGAAATGTGCTCCCGAACTAACACCTGTTCTCTGCAAGTTGTTCAACTACTCTTACAAATTGGGGATATTCCCGTCCAACTGGAAGATTGCAAGAGTACAATCAGTTCCTAAAAAAGGCCAAAAATTTCAAAGATCATGGAAAAAGCTATCAACATCGAGCTCATGAAATACCTGGAACATTCTGGTATTATCAACGATAGGCAATATGGCTTCCGTCATCAGCGATGTTCTCTGCTAGCTAGTTTTCTCTCAAACAGGTCTCTCCATGTAGTGGTCGAAGGAGTTTCATCTGACTCCCTTATTATAAATGCTGTTGTTCCCCGAGGATCAATTCTACGACCAACACTATTTCTACTCCATATCAACGGTTTTTTGGAAGCAACTTCATGTCCAGTACACAGCTTCGCGGATGATAGTACCCTCCATATCGCCTTCTCTTCCAGGGCTCCAATTCCGGCTAGACAAATCAGAAACGAACGAGGGAGAAATGTTGACAACATAAATATGGACTTGGCAAAAATTCTCGAATGGGTATCCAATATCTTGGTAGATTTCATTGCATACACAGCACAAGCATGCCTTTCGTCTAGAAAAGCATCCATTTCAATGCTTGGGATTACTATCACCGATAACCTTTTTTGGGAAAATCACGTGAGATCAATTGCTAAAAGTGCATCCCAAAAACTTGGTTTTTTGTATCGAGCCAGGAGCTATTCCACTTCCAGTCAGCTGCTTATGATCTATAAGGCACAGATCCGACCTGTCCATATTTGGAGTGCAGCACCCAGACATACCCTGAAACTGTTGGATTATGTCCAAAAAAGGGACAATCCGTCTCATGAGTGATGCCTCGCTCACAAACTCACTCACTTCTCTGGGACACCGTAGAAAATTTGGCGATCTTGCTGGCTATTTTATAGATATTTTCATGGACGATGCTCTTCATAAATATCAACAATTGTTCCTCCCTTGGCAGTCCCCGCGAGATTAACCCGTGGAGTTGAGGCTTCGCACCCCTTCGTGGTCACTTTGGAGACCTGCAGAACATCTCTTTCCAAAGACTCGTTCATCCAACGAACATCGAGGCTCTGGAACACATTGCCAAGGGAGGTGTTCCCCGAGGCATATAACCTCCAGAAATTTAAGAGGAACACCAATTCCTATACCTTATTTCATTTGGTTCTTACGATGTTCTCTGAACATTACAGGATACCCCCTTTCGTGGGAACCAGAACATAACAAAAACATTTTGTTCCATTTTGAGCATTGTGGCTATTTCGTAGTTGGATATCAAAATTTTGCAGACAAGATTGAGAAGGAAAATGTATTTCAATGTATAGATTATATTGTTTATGTATCAAATGTGTAACTTTTATGTATTAGCTATTGATGCTAAATAAAAACTCTCTTCTTTTAGTTCAATTCTATTCTTCTCTATGCAATTTTGAATTCTCAATGGAGCGAGTGGCACTCTTGCCCCCGCGTATCCGGCGCCTATGATCTGAATCGTCTAACTCTAACTCAAAAACCCTTTCGACACTTTCAGGAAGCACAAATAGAAACCGCGATCGCCGAAGATACCGATCAGAATCCGCCGAAGCCTCCGATAAAGCACCTGAACCTGAACGGATTGTGCAACAAGAGAGAACGGCCGGAAGAGATCGCCTCGATCGAGGATTCCATTCAGTCTTTGGCGGAGCTCAGGGTGCTCAGTTTGCGCTCGAACGGTATCCAGGACTTCCCCAGCAGCGTGCTCCAGCTGACCACCCTGGTGACTCTGGATCTGTCCGACAACAGGCTGTTGACTCTGCCGCCGGAAATCGGCCAACTGAAGCAGTAAGTACCAGTATTCCAGTGGCGTAACATGAGATTTTTGTACATCTTTAGGCATAATCCTCAACACATTGCGTGCCATGTTTCTCATATATGAGCGACATTGAACTTCCCCAGGGTGCTGTCTCTCATATGTGTGTGTGTCTCTCTATCAGTGCGTGTCTCTCACAAATGCATCACGCTGCCGTACATTTCAAATGTGAAATGTAGAGAGTGGCCCCTGGAGAAAACCATGTGAATCTTGGTATGAGCAAAATTGAAAACATAAAGACTTTGTACTTCAAAAAGTCAAAACTAATATCTCCGTACAAAATGAGGTAAAAAATCAAAGTAAAAATTAATAGTAGATGGTTTTATTAGGATCAAAAGTGACACTTTGTTTGACAAGCGAATTTTGCATTTGCGAGGCGGAGCGTTTAGCGAAGCCGAGCGAAAGCAAAATTTGCGAGTCGAACAAAGTCTCTTTTGATCCGAATGAAACATGCTATTTTTTTCTGCAACCGAAACAATTAACTCAAATAAACAAGTAACCACCAATGCCGTGCCATATGTATGCAATGCAACAAATATTGACAAATAATCCATGTGGTGAGAATATTCTACCTGCATTAACAGCAGGTTAGGTTTTCTAGGATTTTCGACGAATTGTAGTTTCAATATAAATACAACCACAGAGTGACATATTCGTGTATGGACCAGGTGCTCTAATGACAAATACCGCGCCAGTGCCAGCTATAGGAACAAGACGTGGAAAATGTTAGGTTAGTGAGCATATCAACAATGATAATAGTGATTATTTATTTCTTTCCATACTACACTCTGTTTGACTTGATAATCAAATGAAGCTAAACAATATCGTTGTTTGAGACAAAAAAACTCATGCTTGCCGTGATTATTCAAAAACAAGTTATCCATCCCGAGAATAACGAATGAAATACAGATCAAGCAGGTATTTGAATCTTGAAGGCTTCCCTGATCAAAACGAAAATACTTAGCTGAGATGTTTATAATTTCAATACTGAACTATAATAAGGTGTATTTATATATTCAGCATGGGTATGAAATGCCATATCTGATGAATTCGGAAACAAATCAGGTATGCGTCTCAACCCAAATAACCAACCGTCACAATGTTGTTTATTCTTGATGACGTACAGTAGATTCTTCAAGTTTAGCTCCTAGGAACTAGATATGTTGCCTAGCAACATACCTATTTTTGTGTCAGTAATAGAAACGTCAATTTAAGAGCTAATTTTGGTATCAAAATGGACGACTTTTGTATAGGTTGCAGAAAAACTATTATATCTCATTGAAACATGTCAAACAAATTTGTGGATGATACGATGAAGTAGATGCTTTTGCCGTTTCAGTCCTTTGTGGTTTGTCCGAATTCTTCAAATCAAGTAGGTCTGCGGCTGATATATCTTGAAATGCTCGTTTCGAGATTTTTTTTGTGGCCCACTTATAGAAAACCCATGAAACAAAAGAGAAACCGTCACTCATATTTGAATCACGTAGCCTCCAGCGATAAATTTGCCTTTTTTCTGCTACAGGGCCACGCGAGAGGCCACGTCTCTCACATATGAGTGACACAACGAAACCAAGAAAATATAACCAAAAACTATAAACTACACATAAGTATCAAACAAACCTTCATTTTAACATAAAATATTCACAAATGATAGAAAACTTTGGTTCGACCCCCATAGCCAATCCCCAATCACGACTTGGCACGCAATGTGTTGAGGTGAGCTCATCCCTCAAGACATCCTTAAGGACCAGCTTTAAATATATAGTCGAACTATGAGCTCGAAGAAAGCCTCAAGGAAATATCAATACCAAGGATGATAAAGAGGTACCTTGATCCAATTTCTAGTATTATTTAAAGTTATGTGAACACTTCACCAACGATAAGATTTCCCCAAAATTCTCAATCACACGACATGTTTCGCTAACACAGTAGCTTCACCAGGTAAACTAACCTTGGCTTACCTAACTTTCATATATCCTACTTTCCCAACCTGAAGGATTGAAATTACCTGTGGAGAGGTTCGATCAGCCTTCATTTTGAAAAAATGGGCACAATATCCACATTAAAATACGGTGTACTAGATTAACGTGAAAGGATTGATAGCAAATACATATTATAACTTTTTTTTTAATTGACTCGGCCGTTACTTGATGGAAAGCCATGGCAAATGTAAAAACTCCACAAACGATAAGATTTCCACAAAATTCTCAAACACACCACATGTTTCGCTAAAACAGTAGCTTCGTCAGGTGATATACTCGTACAATGAACGATGTTCGCTTACTTTTACGCAAGAATTGACAATTTTAATGACTGAGAAATTCGAAACACGTATTCTATGCATATAAACTGTTGGATATTTGAATTGAATAATCCATATTTCTAGACGCACTTTGATCCAAGACCAAGGCTGTCAAGTCCAAGACCAAGGCTGTCAAGACCAAGACCAAGACTGAGCCAGTTTCGTCTTGGTCTTGAAACATCAAGACCAATACCAAGACCAAGTCTTTATATTTATTTTTCGAGACTGATCAGTCTTGGTCTCGAATGTCCCGTACTTATTACCATTCGGCGTTCGTCACAAGTTACTGTAATTTAAAGAAAAGTATGGGCGGATGGCATTGCCAAACGTGTAGGGTATAGATACGATGATGTGGCATATAATGTTGTTAACAATGTTTTAATTGAGAGTTATCATTTGTTAATGTTCGACATTTTGTGAATTAAAGAAGTTAATATGATCGCCGAACATTTTGGTTGAATCCAACCACCTCGGTGTATGTTTGTCTTTAGGGTGTAGCTGTAGACTGAGTATGCGCTTCATCATACATTAATAGTCGGCATTGATTTTATATTATTTCAAAATGAAAAAGAAGTATGAAAAATACATAATCAATGGCATAGATATTGACCTTCGTAGATTTAAAATCCAACTTTCGTTGACAATATCATTTCTTTTATTAACGTTCGGCGAAGCTGTTTTATGTTAATCAATAGTATAATAGACGTAATTATTATGTAAACCCCGAACAGGTATGCTGGAACACCATATAGTACCGTAGTTCATCTGTAGCCAATTTATCAGTGCCCATTTGTTCATCCTTTCTGATTGCCAAGATTATAGCAAGAAGAATGTTGAAGCAGTTCATTAAATTATAATTAAAGTGATTTCATATAGGTATGAAGTTTCTCAAATCCCACCTCATTTGGTCTGACAAGAATTGAACACTTATATCATAGGTCATAAACCAGAGAGAACAATACACGGCAACCATAAAATATACCCATAACCACATGAATCATTAGTTGCTGGCGTATCTGAAACAGTAAATCTCTTGATCCTACAAACATAGAAACTGCAGCGAACGAACTTCCGTTGTTTTTGCCACGGTCCCCTGATCTTCCGAGACGCGCATATCATTAAATCAGATAGGTGGCTCGTGCCAGCAGTGGCACACTTACTTACAGGTAATTTTAGACATAGGTTGTACATATTCAAATTGGTTCAAGCCTCAATTATCAACTCGAACACGATTACAATGCTCGTGCTGGCCAATGAAGCGGAGGCTACTTATGTACTGTCGTAATAACTTCAATAAGATATTGTAACTGATAACATCACTAATTATTGCGATAGAAATTTTAGTTCATACAGCTAGTATAATCAAATTGCATTTTATCAGAATGACAATTCATCAAGAAGTTATTTCATAGTGGTACTGATTCATCAAATCATCATACTTCTTGTATCATCTTGACCGTATTTTGTCAGCAAATACATAGGATTATATCAGCCACTATAACATTATATCAATTATTGCGTGGTCGAAACTCTAGGGGTGAATCAATGAATACGTACTCCCAAGCTGCCAACGACTTTTTTGTTGTTGTTTTGTTTGTCCAGAAAGTGTCATTTATTTCCTGATTTGAGAAACTATGAGCACGGTGAGCTAAGATATTATTTGGCTATGCAAAATATTCCAACACGCGATCCTAGGGTTGACTGTTGACAAACCAATGGATAGCTCACTGAGCTACTGCACTCTCGAGTGTTATTGTAATATAAGAATAATTGAGTGTGAATACACACACATTAATATAAGTGGTTGGTCATCTAGCCTAGGATAGTCTGCTGAACGATACGCTGGCTATAGACTTCACATACATAAAGATCTTTTGAACTATCCAAACAAAAACAAAAAAAAATAAGAGTGCGGCAACCTTGATATACTGTAGAAGTGCCTCGAAGTTTAAGTCAATGATTCTACCAACGTGTCAGTTTGATGATGATTTAGGAAGTAATAAACATTCTCATCCTTCTTTGTACCTCTTCATTTTGAGGTTTTAGACCGGAGAGCATGCATCATCAAAAAAAGTTAGTAGAAAATATCAGTGCTAGGAATGTCCTACAGATTATTTTTTTGAAATTGATGAAATACATATCTCGAACATCAATAGATCTGAAAGAAACTATATCAGATCCCAGGGGTGGTCATCTGTTCTTGTGCCTACTCACTTAATGATCTTAACTTTTATCTGTATGGTTCATATGTTGTTACGCCAATGATCGCGATTTCAATAGACAACCCGACCGTAAATCCCAAACTTCTTCTTGCTTCTTCTCCACTAATCTTCAGACCTCATTTACACACTTATTACCAGAAAACAACGATAGCGATACCTACGTAGAAATCCATCGATTTCCAGTTGATATACTATTGATCACAGATTAACAAACCTTAATCTGTGCTATTGATGGAGGAAGTTGTGAAGACTGTTTGTCCTTGTCAGTGTCCCGCATGTGCATCCGGCATACTAGGAACATAACCTCGACATCGACTTTCGATTTCTGCACAAAGTAACCCGTCATTTGTGTTTGTTGCAGTTTGCAGGAGCTAGTGCTCGATCAGAACCTGCTGAGTGTGCTGCCGGTGACCTTATGGGAGTTGAAGCTGTTGAGAGTGCTCAGGGTGGCGAGCAACAGGTTGACAGTTCCACCGGATAAACTGGCAACAATGCGAGCTCTAGTACTTTCGGTGAGTAGTACATGAAAAATATACTTCAGGGGAAAATCGCTAATATATGTATTGTAGTACCTGTAGATTCCATAGATTCTAGCTGCTTTCGTCTAGGTATTTTCCAAGCATATGGAAACGGGAATTCATCGTCCCAATCCATGAGTCGAGATACAGATAGTTAGTTCAAAACTACAGGCCAGTATCAAAACTCTTCATCCTTGCCAATTTATCAGAATATTCGAATTTCTCAGCTATGACATCATTGGTATTCTCAACCTAACTCGAACAATAGAAATCAAGTATACGCAGTTTTCACCGACTTCAGTAAGACTTTCAACAAGATAGACCATCGGTTGCTTGTGCTCAAGCTGGCTGAGGTTGGTGTTAGTGGAACACTTTTGAGCTGGTTTGATTCATACGTTAACAATCGCTCTCAGGCAACAACTATAGGAAACTATGTATTACAAACAATTTCCATAACTTCGGAGGTACTCCAAGGCTCGCATCTGGGGCCTCTTCTCTTTAACTTATACATAAATGATATTTCGAAATGTTTCAAGTTCTTGAGATTTATAATGTATGCTGATGATTTGAAGATCTTCCACAGTGTATAGAGAATCCACCGGACGCTTCATTGATCCAACAAGATTCAGACAGATTTTATTCACATTGCACAGAAAACGCTTTATATCTGGATTTCAAGAAATGCCATCAGATCACTTTCAGTAGAAATAATGATCCAATCATTCTAAATTACAGACTAACAAGTCATATACTCGATATTGTCAATGAGGGTGAATGATTTGGGAATACTTTTTGATACTCAAATGTTGTTCCACAAGAATATCGTATATATTTCTTAAAAGGCAAATAGGATGCTAGGTTTAATTATCAGATCGTGTTATGATTTTAAAGACCCTAAAACTGTTCTTATCCTTTTCATGTCCTATGTCAATAGCACCTTGAGTTATGCCTCTACAATCTGGAATCCCCAGTACATTATATTTAATAAAACAACTCGAGAATATTAAAAACACGCTTCGTGTCGATGAGAATTGTATAAGCAGAAAGTTGAATTTACTTTTAGTCTCGAAAATGAAAGAGATATTTCCGATATAAAATTTTTTGTTTAAGTTGGTGAATAATCTGATAGACTCAATCCCAATTAGTGATTTCATCCAATTTAATTTATTTTCAATAATACTCCACTCGAAGTCATCAATTATTCCACACAAAAGCGGCAAACACAAATTACTATTTGAACTACCCCCATCATCGCTGCTTCGAAAGCTATAATTCAATATCAAATCTGATTGATATTGATATATTTTGTAATTCATTTACCACCTTTGTGAATATACTTAAAACATAATGTTTCTCGAACCTTTGAATCTTTGTCAGCACCTTGCATATTTATTGTAGGTATTTCTTCAGATATATTTATTCAGATATATTTATTCAAAATCTTGTATACCATCCATAATTTTGAAATAGGTACCCCACTAAATTTCTAATATAAGTAATATAACTATCATTTTATATAACTTCCCCTTCCTGTGAATACTGTTCTCAGTCTCGCCCTGTTTGTATTCCGGAATATATATATAAAAAAAATAATAATTTGGCCGCGGGCTCTAATAATTTCTCATAGAGGTGGTTTGAATTTCACTTAATACTTTAAAATCGAAATATTTGGTGTATAAGGAACAAGGAAGTAACTTTAGTTCCACAATACATAAACGACCTACTGTCAATATTTCAATTCAATTCGAACAGATACTTATGCTGTTAGTTTCCTCATAAATAAATAGGTGACTCAGCAACGATTTCATAGGTTCTGCAAATTTTACAAAAAAAAAATTACGCATATATTCATCCTGTTAGTTTCCTTAGGAAGAAAATAGGTAACTTAGCAACGATTCACTTTGGTACCTATATAGAGAATTTTCCACTTCGTCCCTGATTGAGAGTCTGAAGGGCACTTTTCCCGGAATCACCCCTACTGATTGAATTTGAAAAACAAAAAAAAAAGGAGTTCCATATAGGACGTTACTAATTATAATAATTCGAAATATGTGATATCGATAGACTAAAATAATATCACCGACCACCATCAATTCCAATATTGTTACACGTTTAGACAATCAAATCATCAAGTGAAGATCTCAATAACTATGGTTTCAGTTCCGTAGTTGAAAATCAACAGATCAAACATAAATTGATAATTATGTGGAAATACAGTACATTTAACAAGCATCCACTTTCTCCTGTGCTATGCGAATAAATTAATTACGTGAAAACTTATGTAGGCACATCTTATGTAATACTTGCGAAATTTCAGGAGCCCGCAGGTAAATCCAATGATTCCAATGGACTGACAACACTGAATTTGAGAGCTAACAGGCTGAAAGGACACATCATCTTGGGAAATTATGGGGTAAATATTATAAATATACATGTACTTCAACAGTATTTTTCGAATGCACATTTTTACAGAGCCTCACCCAGTTAGATGTGAGTGAAAACAACATAGAAAACTTGGATCTCAGTGCTGTTGAACAACTGCAAATGCTTCAGTGCTCCAGGAATTCCCTGACAACTGTGACACTCTATGGAAAAAGACTGACATCGATAATTGCCGGTAACAATAGTAGGTATTCCTATTTTTATAATATTAACCAAAAACTTTGATAGTGCCGATTGTTCTGGATGACTTATTTTCTTCTCTTCTCAGAACTGAAGAACTTGACAATCATCCACCTTCCTAGTGGCCTGAAACACCTAGACGTGTCCTACAATGAGTTAGAAGCCCTTCCTGATTGGCTGTCGAGCTGTCATGAACTCAGATCTCTCTTTGCGAGCAACAACGCCTTAGTCACCTTACCAGAACACCTATTTTGTCAAGAATTTCCATTCCTTCATACAGTACAGCTAGCATACAATCAGCTCCAGTATATTCCTATTCTTCAGAAGAAACTACCGATACAAGAAATGTTTCTCCAGAATAATAGTTTGTCTAGTTTACCTGAAAACTTCTTCACGTGTATTCCTGATATCAAAGTACTGAATTTATCAAACAACAGGCTGTGTGATATACCAAAGCCCAACGAGGTGTTACTCATCGAAAAACTATTCCTTACGGCGAACTGCCTTATTGATGAATGTCTCGAAAAGCTAGCACCGTTCCTGAAGAATATTAAATCAATTCACGCAGCCTACAATAATTTTACTTCCCTACCAAACAATTGTTTCATCTTCTGGTCTGAACTTGAAGAGCTGGTAATGTCTGGCAATAAACTGCTGAAGCTACCTGAAAACATTGATTCCATGAAGCACCTTTCTGTATTGCGAGTGCATTCAAATCTCCTACAATCAATTCCTAAGCTATCCACACTTCTGTCACTAAGAGTTTTGGACCTAGCCCACAATCAGTTGGATCGGATAGACCTAAGCTCTCTGATACCACCAAACCTCAAATTTCTTGATCTATCTTTCAACACCAAGTTACATGTCGATTCTCATCAGTTTAATGTGTATAGGACCCAACGACCAATGAGTCTAGTGGACGTATCGGGGAAAAACAGAACTACCCTTCCTTTAGCACCTTCACCATACTGTGAGAGTGATTTAACAGAAAATTCTTGGTCTGTAGGATTCTCAGAGACAGCTGGGTGCAAACAGCGATTATACATCTCACAAATTCGCTTACCGGCTTTCTGTAACACAGAAGCTCTCTTCGGTATTTTTGATGGTGAGTCCAACAGCGAATTACCTAATGGAGTGGACAAAGCTGTGCCAAGAATCCTACTAGAAGAGAGGACAGTCAAGGAAACAGCCCAAGACTACATGAAATACTCTATGCTATCAGCGCATAAAGAACTCAGAGAACGAGGCCAAAAGCAAGGACTGAATGCAATATTAGTACATATATTGAAAGCGAAGCAATCTCCTGAATATTCCTTCTGTGGAAGCATGAGGAAATATGTGATGAAAATTGCAAGTATTGGGGACATCCGAGTGGTCCTCGGTAGACTATCTGGCCCCGTTCGCTTACTTCCTATGAAACTCAGAAAGCAGATAAGGACTAACCCACAAATCCACTTGACGATCCCTGATCCAGACGTGATGGACATTTATCTAGAAGAACAAGACGAGTACATGATAATCGCCAACAAGCATCTGTGGGAAGTAATCAGTCCAGAAAACGGTATAAAAGAAGTAACACTACAAAGGAATGTAATCCTAGCCGCCAAGAGGCTACAAGATTTAGCCCAGAGCTACGGCGCAGAAGAAAATCTAAGCATAATAGTAGTCAAGTTCAACCTTCTGGATACAGATGTCGATTTGCTCATGAGAGAACTGCGACAAACCATCAAGATGAACAAGTATCAGAACGAGCCTGGCAACTCTAACACTGGGGGTTGTCAGTCTGGTTGTTGTTGCGAAGCATTGAACAAAGAATGTTTCAATTGTTTCGAGCAAATACCCATACCCCCACCAATGATGGTTAGTGATGATAGATCATCGCCTAGTGGGCAAAGTGAACAGTGTTGCAGTGATTGCAATTCGTCAGCAAAACTCTTCATTAACCAGCTGAATAAGCAGAATGAGATAAGGTCTGCTAGGAATGTGGCACCTTCGATATTTGAGACTGTAGGGATGGCAAAGAGCCCAGAACGTAAGAGCTATAGAGGTGTAGCCAAAGCTTTGAGACAGAGGAAGGAAGAGGAACGAAACCGAGAGGATTCAGATTCTGCGTTGTCCGAGGAACAGTTTAAATGTTGGGAGTATATGTTGGAGCAGAACACACAGTTACTGTTCGATAAAGAACTCAATACTTTGAAGAGCGTGAGGGGTAAACTGAAGACCCCTTCTTTATCCCGAAGTTCTCCACATTTAGCTGAAAGCAATACCAACCATCAAGGAACCTTCTTATCGAAACAGTTCGGCAGTGCAAGGTCATTCAATCCCTTGTTGCCAAAGTCAAGTTCAAGATATGCATTGGACCAGAAGCAATTATTAGGTGGGCCTAACGCGGCATATTTTGGTAGTTTGCAAAGACTGATGCCGTATAATCTGGAGTATGATTTTGCTGTTATGCACGAGAGAGGATTGGCTGATTCTTTGGATTTGGACAGAATGCAGCAATACTGGGGAGTCACAACAACAGAACTTTGAATAAGTAGATTGTACTGGGAGTAATGCAAATATCAGAGAATCATGTTCGTATGGATCAGTCATTCACTTATTGACAGTACGAGGAAGGTAACGCCAGAGAAATGTAAAAATCAGGTTTGAATCGAGGGATATTTTTATTTGAATCTGAATTGGGCAATATCATTTGAATGGTTGTTGAAATTGTGAAAATATCAAACTATATAGATATAGATGAAGATATGCAGAGGGGAGAATTAAAGAAATTGTGAAATATCTTCAGTATAATTTATTAAATAATCCACATGTAAAGAAACAATTGTTACACTTCGTTCATGACGTTATGAAAATACTGCAGAAAACAGAGCTATGCATTATTGTTTACCTACTTTTCACTCTCTTTTTTTTCATTGGTTCATAATTGAATTCATCTGTGATGTTTACTGCTGGCTATCGATTGGTATTTCTCTGTTCGTTGTTATTGATTCTAACTCAATTTTTGCTGTAAATAAGGAATTATATTGTGATTTTTAGCCTACTAGTTATCGTTATTGCATACCTCTTGGTCAGAATGTTTTGTTTACAAATTTTGGTAGGTAGGTAGTTGGTTCCTGGAATTGTCACACATGACTGATTCAGTCCACAGGTATTTCGCCAAATTTCATCTTGAATTTCGAGTATATCATTCTTGTAATTATTGTTGCCGTTATATTTCCAAATAAATATCATTGTTATGTAATTATTGTAATTATTGAAAATGTCACTGTCAGCTTGATGACGTTTAGTCTCTATTGACGGTAATGACACTAATGACGGATGACCACTATTTGCGAACCTCTGCATGCATCTTCTCGAATTTTCGACATTGTCATCATGGAACATTGACCCATAGTTCCCTTGCTATCATCACGAATACGGGCTCTAACGGCTCACAATCAGCACCATATCTTGTTATGATGATTTGGCACTCTGTATCTTCGCCATTATGTACCTGTTTGTTGATTTGGCACTAATTCCTTGTAAGTATGGGCGTTATGGGTTATGTTACATGGTGATAAAGGGTCATCGCACGGGAAGAAGATGATGACGTATTTCGCCCCACTATTCAGGTCTACAATGATCCTCAGTTGCGCATGACCGCGTTTGAATATTTGAAGTTTCAAATCCAAACAATAATAACTGGCAATAATATATTCTGACTTGAAATAAATGGTGATTTAATGATATTCCTTCTTTTCTGATGGTCTAGACACCTCTCTTGATATTATCGACATAGTTTTCACTACCATGGTGAGGTAGAAATGCCATGTACAGGGTGTTCGCGGGGATATCTCCCGCCTATAATTTTATATCGTCCGGTGATTGATGTGTGTGGGAGTATAGGGGAAGATACACAAAAAAAGGGTGATCTTCCGGTGAGATGTGGCAAGGACAGCCCCTTCGATCTTCATAGGCACCATTTTGTCTGCAGCAGTCTACCAGCCTGGTCACAAAAGTAAGCCGTGAGATCTGTTTCTTGAATAATTTCGAATTTGTCTAATATTCGATTTTCCATTACTTAGTGTTGGGATTAATTAGGAAAAGATCTCAAATTTGGGATATCCATTATCATCGCTGGGATGATGGGATTCCTGTTGCCTCTATAGAGGGATTCTTCGTGGCTGAAATCCACGTGGCCGAGCCGACCTGCATCACCACTTCTGGAACCCACACAACATCCAAGGTACTATATATTCTTTTAATCATCAGCTGCTATTTTCTTGTCATTCCTTGTGTTGGTAAAATAACGCACGATTGTCGTCATTCCATATAGGGTTCCTTTTATCGGGCCAAAGCCTCCTCTCCCGACTGTCGCACTCAAGTTTTGCGCCCCATCAGCTCGGACCTGGGACTGTCTTATAGTCGTCGGCAGTCAACGCTTCGCTGCGTCAATTCGCGTTTTTGGGGCCTGCTCATTTGTGGCTGAAGGGCGACACACAGGAGACACCACCTGACAACGCTGCCTGACTTCACCTGATCCCCCTGTACATCAGAGCCAGATGATACACATCAGGACCTGCTCATAATTTGGTGAGTTCGTTCCATGCACCACCAAGGATAGTATTTTACTTGGGATAAACTACCACCAACCATAATTCATCAGTTTTAAATTTCATTCAACATAATATAATTGCAACATGACATTGATTTAATAGACACTCAGTATAGCTACAAAATATACCCCTGTAAACCAAAAGTGCACTGCGGTAAAATAGGCCTTATTATTTCTTTTGTCTCATTGATACTGATTTACTGAGTTATTTTGTTGATTAATAAGCTATATATTATCATACTGTCTCAGAGAGTTGATTTTGAGCAGTGATTGTACTATTTTACACTGATCTGAAGAGTTGATTTCAGTCAGTCAATTTATATTTCTTGTTGTTGCAATAATTGTACACTGTTCAGGTAATATTACTATTGATACTCAGTTACTTTGGAAGTCTTGAGCCAACTATAGTATCATTTGGAGCACATTATTTGTCATTTCAGAATTTAATTGTGATTAAAAGCATATTCATCCCTATCAAACTTAGTATTTTACTAAGCCTAACGTACCCACCCATTTGTCCCGCTGAACTACCAGTGTCTAGTTTCTACGGTATCAAACTGGGCACTAAAAACACTTTTTCTGTTGTCAATACATTTAAGATTTAAAACACCTAATAAATCTTAGGTAATTCATCAACCAAACTCAGGGGTAAATAAAATTCTATTCCATTTTTCTTACTACTCACCCCCTGAGATTTAAAGGAATAACAGTGGCGCCCAACGTTTATCAGTGGCACAATAGGGTGAATATGTTGGACTTATGAAGTAATAATTGGTGGTAGTGAATTTTTTTTTTGAAAATTTATATTTCTCAATTTGGCTTAAATTTCACATAATTCTGTATATTTTTGAATCTATTTTATACTGTGAATCGCTCTTTTGTTCCGGAAACATTGAATCCACAGGGTGTTTGGACAAAATTACCATTTATTTTTGGAGTTGATGATCAGGAGAGATTAATAGAAGATTACAATTCAGACAATTTTTCTAATGACCTGTGTATTCTGTATAGACTGTTGAGAACAACCTATCGTCAATTTTTAATTGTACAGGGTATTCAATTTTCAGGTACATTATTTCTCCTTCACAACTTAAATTTCTATTTGAAAAAAAAAACAAGGAATATACCAACATCAGCTAATTATTCTTAATGTAATCAAAAAGTTAGTGAAAGGATTTTTTTTTTTTTCCCTTTTTTTTTTGAATTTTGAATACTGAAATGTACAGGGTTAGGTCATAAAATAATATAGTCAGTTATACAGTATTTGAAGATAGCATTTGTCAATTTTATTAGATTGTATATTTTACAACAGTGAATTAATTTATACAGGGTCATTCCAAAAATCCATTACACTCACATTTGTTATCATTGATCATTGGATATCAATATACAGGGCGTACACATACAGGTGGTTCACAGTAATAGATCAAACAATTGATAATATATATATATTTTTCTTATTTACTAGAGGTTTACTCTGGTGAACATAAAATTTTCAGGTCGTGTTTGTTATTGTACAGGGTGGTCAGCGTGCTGGGTGTATCCGTCTAGGTGTTGTCAAATTTTAGGGATTGTTTCCTTGTTCGTTTTTTTTTTTCTTCTCTGGGAAGGGAGGGGGTATGCAAACTGTCGTTTGCATGTGCAAATATTTTCATTTTCCCTGATAGTTGATTTCCCCATGTTTTTTGTCTGATATTTCAAATTGAATTTGACATTTGATCTTGAATTTTTTTTTTTTTGAATTTTTGATTGCGATTATTAACTATTTTTTTTGCTTATCGATCATTTTCGATTATTTCATACTTATTACCAGCCTATTTTGACTTCGAATTTATTATTGCCGAGATTTGAGACTGAGAAATTTCAATCGTGTTATTCTATAGTGAGCCAGGCGTGGACTTGAATTTATAACTGATTTTTGGGGTACCGAGAAATTTTAGGATTATCATGGAGATCAATAGACTACGTAGCGATGAGCTAACTTATGAACTTTTGCTTCGCGGTGCATGCCTAGGAAATGGAACAGTTCAGGAAAAAAGGGTGCTATTAAGAGCTGCGTTGCAGGCTGAACAGGAAGGTTCATTACAAACATCCACCATGCAGTTTGATCCTAAAAATGAGCTTTTGATTTGTAATAATAAAGTAACTGAATTATTAGGAGATGTTCAAACATTTGATGAGGACAATTTCGAAAATGAATTTAAAAAAATTCAATCGCGGCTCATTCATGTCTCCAAACGTATTGATAGGCTTCCAGCTAGAATACCGGAAGATGAGATAGAAAGATTGAAATTGACCACTGTAGCCAATAATTTGAAACTTGCATTAGATTGTGCATATAGGGCTGCTAGGAGAAAATCATCTAATACTACTTCAGCCAGTAATACTGTTCCCACAAATAATAATACTCCTCCAAATGCCAGTTCCACCAGCCATTCTTTTGTAGATGATCTGATTTCATTTGACGAAGCAGAGGAACATGTCAATAGTTATAGTGAAAAGGCACCTAATGCTAATGGTAATCATGTAAATTCCAATATTCCGGCGGCACAATCTTCCCAGCCTAAATCAACCTTGGATCAAGATATGGAAAAGGACATTGATGTTTCAATTTTAACTAACAAAATTTCAGAAATGATGCGTGACATGAATGTAACTTCCGTACGTCCAGCACAAAATGTTAATGATTTTGGATTAAACCTCCCTAGTAGTCGTTGCGCTACCATAGGCACGACTCAAGTAGATCCCTTTTCACCGGTCAATTTTCATACTACGAATGATAGCAGGAATATTTCTCGTGTTAGTTTCGAGTCTGGTGTACCTCCTCAGCGATTCGTGGATGTGAGTCGTTGGAGACTAAAGTTTAATGGTACTAGTAGTGTCACTGACTTTTTAGAAAAACTAGAGGACATGCGAGTTTCTAGAGGTATTTCCAAAAATCAACTTTTTGATTCAATTCCAGAATTATTAGAAGGAGACGTATCTATTTGGTTCCGTTTTGCGCGCAGTAACATCAGAACATATGATGATTTTGTTTTGGCATTGCGAAATAGCTTTTTACCTCGAAATTACGAAGAGAAAATTTGGGAT